AAGAAAGGTGGTATTGAAGAGAAGACAAGAGCGAATGAAGGCGAAGAGAGAAGGGACGGAGTAAGCAGGGGCGGCGAACAAATAAAGAATGTCTACTAATATCAGTGACCATTCTATAAATGGAAGATTGCGGAGATCATGAGAGCGTACATAGTAGCGCAGGCAATGGCATCATGGCGATCGATAAGGATGGAACGTTCGCTTCTGCATAGAGGCTTTCGACAGGGAAGAGCGAAAAGCACCAAGGCATAAACGTAATCCTTGGTGATGAATGGGGTTAAGGCTAGAGAGAGTAGCAGAGATGCCGCTGAATAGATCTGGTCACCATAATCAAGTTTCGATAAAATAAGGGTGGAATGTAGGTGAAGGAGGGTTCGACGATCAGCTCCCCACGAAAGATGAGCAAGGGTTTTAAGAAGGTTCAGCCGGCTGTGACAAGTTGCCTTCAGAGAGGTAATGTGAGGTTTCCAGGATAACTACGATCAAAGAGGAGGCCCAGAAACTTGACTGTATCACGTTCAGGGATACGGGAGCCATAGAGGTACAAAGGATGATCGGAGATGACAGAGCGTCTAGTGAAAGTGATTTGGTGGGTTTTAGTGCTGGAAAATTTAAACCCATGTGGTGGTGGCCCAATTGGAAACACGGTTCGACTGCATGTTGGAGAGAAACTGTAAGGAGGTGACAGTCAGCGCCTGCACAGGCAATAGCGAAGTCATCAACATAGAGTGATGACCAAATATTTGATGGAAGACTAGAGGCCAAATCATTAATAGCAAGGAGAAAAAGTGTTGTGCTCAGAACACATCCCTGGGGACACCTTCAGCTTGGATAAAGTCCGGGGAGAGCACATTATTAACCCAACACGGAAATGCCTGTCAGTTAAAAAGTTCTTAAGGAAGGATGGTAGATTGCCTCGAAGGCCTAAGGAGTGGGCTTGGGCTAAAATATTATACCTCCAAGTTGTGTCATATGCCTTCTCAAGGTCAAAAAATATGGCAATAACTGAGTGGTTATTCGCAAAGGCATTACGAACATACATACCAATAGCGCAGTAAGTGGTCTATGGTAGAACGTCCCTTACGAAAGCCATATGACGAGTGGAGAGACTGTTGTGTGTCTCTAAATACCACACTAAACGTCTATTTACTAGAGTTCCATTACTTGCAAACTGCACTGGTAAGAGCAAGGGACAATAGTGGGAGGTTTCATGTCCCGTAGTGCTGGTTTGCGGAAAGGGAGAACAATGTGCGGATTTCCACAGCTGTGAAGAACTCCTTTGTGACCTAATAGATTGTAAAGGGTAATAGGACTGCAAGGGTTACTGATGTAAATGTTGTAGCATACGAATATGAATGTCTGGCCCAGCTGCCGATGATCGACAAGCTGAGAGTGTTGCCTCCAGTTCTTGAAGTGTAAAAGGCACATTATACTGTTCTTCTCTGAGAGAAGAAAAGTCCAAGGGTGCTAACTCTCTGGCAGACTTTGAGGAAAGAAATGAGGGGCATAGATGGAGTCCCTGAGAATACGGACCAGATGATTGCCAATTTCATTGGCAACATCTAGTGGGTTTGCTATATCAACACCGGCAACCCACAGAACAGGAGCCGGGTCAGAGAATATTTACCACTCAGTTTTCGTACTTTTTTCCAGACTGCACTCATAGAGGAAGCAGAGGTGATGGTGGAGACATAATCTCGCCAGCAAGTGCGTTTAGCGTCACAGATGACACGCGAGCGATCGCACGCTTCTGTTTAAAATCAAGGAGTCGCTCTGTGGTTCTATTGTAACCGGTACCTGCCCATGCATGCGCGTTTCAAACGTACTGCACGAGCACAAGCAGGAGACCACCAAGGCAACGCATTTCTGAGAATGCCTGCCCGAAGTTTGGGGTATAGAATGAGAAGCTGCGGTGAAAACGGAGGACGAGAAGAGGTGTAAAAGCTCATCGATGGAGGACGAAGAAGGAACCTCTTTAAAAACAGTAGGTGTGAGTAAAGGTTCCAATTTGCCCGATTAAATTGCCAGCGTGGGGTGCGAAGAGGTGGCGAATATGAAGGGGAAGTAAGAATGATTGGGAAATGATCACTGTCATGTAAGTCCAGGAGAACAGACCAAGTGAAGTCTAATGCGGCGGAGGAAGAGCAGATTGAGAGATCGATGCAAGAGAGAGTATGAGTCCGAGGATCAAAATGGGTGTGAGTACCTGTATTTAAAACATGGAGGGGGTGGGTGCAAGAAAAGCTCTAACTGAATTCCACGGGAATCACAGTGAGACCCCCCCCCAGAGGAAATGGTGGGCATTAAAATCACCAAGTAACAGAATCGGTGGCGGTAATGACGAAACAAGGAAGGCAAAATCTGGAATAGATAATGCCCGAGAAGGAGAGAGATATAAAGAACAGAGCGTATACCACCTATGTAAGTGGATACGGGCTGCTGTGTAATGCAGCGAAGTATGAACAAATAGCTGATGGTACGGAATATCAGTGCGGAGAAGAAGGGCACTTTCATTAAAGGTCCCATCAGGAAAAGGATCAGAAGAATACAATAAATTATAGCCTGAGATGTGAGAAATAACAGCAGAGTGTAATTTTGGTTCCTGTAAGCAAACACCAACAGGGGCAAACTGGGAGAGTAACATCTGAAGCTCACCCCGATTACCCTGAGGCCGCGTATATTCCACTGTAAATAGGCCATGATTGGCAATGATAAAGATACTTGAAATCCGCAGGTAAGGGTTCCTACGGACTAGAAGGGTTAGAAAAGTCCACAGCGGAGGCAGTGGAAAATGTTCAAGCAGCGAAGGAACGGTGCGCTGTGAAGAAAGGAGTTGCGCAGATGGAGCAGAGGAGAGAGAAAGAGCGGAAGGTGGATCAGTGTCCATTGATGGTTTGGTCTCTGCAATATATTCAGAGATTGCTTCAAGTGTTTCGGAATTCAGAGATGTCGTAGGGGGAGACAATATTGGGAATGGTAGGGGGAGGATGAATAAAGATTGGAACTGTATTGGACTGTACCAAGGTAGGGGGGGGCGAAAGGGTGGAGGGAACTGGAGAAGCGTGGCAGGGGACAGAGGAGGCAGGAACCTGGGAGGTGGCAGAAGAGGAAGAAACTTGGGAGGGAACAGGGAGGAAGGTACATTACGAGGAGGAGGGTGAACCTCTGCACTTGTAACTGAGCCAGTGAGAGGGGAAGAACTAGGGACAGAGACAGGGAGGGTAAAATGAGAGGTGGAAGATGGGTAGGAGGTGTTACCGGACCTTTTTTTGATTTTGAGAAGTAGAGGGACGATTGGGAGGAGGTGTCGTACGAGGTCTCGTCGATACTGAGGCTTGTGAGAGAGAACTCGAAGAAGCGAGATTAGACTGAGGCGTTGAAGTAGGGACGTCTGAGCTGAGGACAGCAAAAGGATTAGATACAGGAGTGATTATGGGAGAGGTAACCACAGAGGTGGGTGTAGAAGATGGGATACTAGAAGTGGGGGGACGTTTTGAAACACGGGAATAAGAAACACGTGGGAGTCTCCCTTGGAGGCGGAGATGAGAAACTGCCATGGCATAAGGGAGACCTTCTGTCTCTTTGAGGTAACGGATTTCCCGCTCGTTTAAATAGACCTGACAACGGCGAGAGTACGAAGGGTGAGCCTCATGACAGTTAGGGCAAGAGGGAGATCGATTGCAAGACGTATTAGAATGGTCATCGGCACCACAGACTGGGCATTCGGCGATAGATCTGCAATATTTCGCTGGATGGCCAAATCGCCAGCAATTTCTACAGTTGTGGTGTAGGGATCACCTTTCGAACTTGTAACCGATGTCCTGCTATATAAACTGAGGATGGGAGTTCTCGGCTGTCAAAAGTTAAACGAGCCACATTGCTAGGGTATCGTCTCCGCCCACGGGCAGGAAGAACGTAAGTATCTACCTTGAGGATTGGGAGATCTTGGAGTTCCAGCTGTTCTAGAATATCGGTGCCACATGTCTGGAAATTTTGTTGAACTATGGTATGGGGCAGAATGACGGTACCACTACAAGAATTGAGGGAATGATGTTTTTCAAGAGTGACAGGAACAGTATCGATATGGGAAAGACGAGAGAGCTCATGAGCCTGGGTAGCATTCTGTACGGTAATGATGCGCGTACCGCTCTTAAGAGCATGAAAAGAAATATCTTTACCAACATGGCGTAGGAGTGCCTTGCCAATACTATGGTCAGAAAGATAGGCAGTAGAGGAAGTTGGTCGTAAAGTGAAGAATTTAGTCCATTGTTCAGTCTGAAACTGAGCGTGGAAAGGTAGTGAAGGACGTGTCGATCGTTTCTGAGAAGAACGAGAAGGTGGAGAAGTATCAGCAGGTAATTGTCGTTGGTGTTTAGGCGTGGGACCAGAGTTGGTCCGACGTGGAACGGGTCGGCGATTTGAAAATTGCCGCACCATAGAGGGAGAGGCCGGAAGCATAGTCAGAGGAGAGCAAAGGTCCGATAAATCAAAGGAGTCATCGAGGCCTCAGTACCTGAAGGGGGTGAGGAAACAGCACCGCAATAGGTCAGAGGCATGAGGATGTCTGAAGAGTGGTCCAAAGATGAGGGGGGGTCAGAATGGGGTGCGGTATCAAGAAGGGGCCTGGGGGTAGTAGGTTCATGGACTAGGCCTGCCATGGTTAGGTTACTTCTTTCTTTTTGTTTTCAAGAAAAAAAAGAAAGAAAAGAAAATAAAAATAAAAAAAGAATAAAAAAAGGGGGGACGGGGAGGGATAGTTCCTAGGAGGAATGAAAGGGCCAGAAATCTCCCTTCCACACCCAAGAGGACCTCAGCCCCCAAGTAGCGCAGATGCAGCATGGAACCCGTGCCATACCCTAACCCATCATGCTAGTAAACTAACAATCCGGGATAGCAACCTCACATCTGCCGAGCTACCTACGGTGGACAAAAGAGAGGGCGGCCGGATATCCGCCACAAAGCATACGTCCTTCGGCCACCACCCCCGGAATCCGAAAGGTGGCTTCCAGAGATACACCCTCGCCCGAAAGCACCCAAAGCTACTCCGGATACCGGGGAGGGATCGGGACATCCCCAGGCGATCCAGATTCCCGGCAAACTAAAGCCACCGCCAAGAACCTCAATGGAATGGGATAGACCCCGGTATCCATTCCCCTACCTAGGAACTAGCGCGCCTGTGGGAGAAATCCCAAAGGCCAAAAAGAGGAAGGGTAAAAGGGAGGGGTGGGGAGGAGGAGGAGGAAAGGAAAAAGGGGAGGATGGGATAGGGGAGGGGAGATTGGGGGGTAATTAGGTTCGGTCTGAGGAAGAAGACCGACAGGTCTAAGTCCTCAGACCAAGAGCCTCTTCACCACGCCAAGGAGCCCCCCTTGAAGAGGTCAAAAGTTAAACGAGCCACATTGCTAGGGTATCGTCTCCGCCCGCGGGCAGGAAGAACGTAAGTGTCAACCTTGAGGATTGGGAGATCTTGGAGTTCCAGCTGTTCAAGAATGTCAGTGCCACATGTCTGGAAATTTTGTTGAACTATGGTATGAGGCAGAATGACGGTACCACTACAAGAATTGAGGGAATAATGCTTTTCAATAGTTACAGGAACAGTATCGACATGGGAAAGATGAGAAAGCTCATGAGCCTGGGTAGCATTCTGTACAGTGATGATGCGCGTACCGCTCTTAAGAGCATGAAAAGAAATATCTTTACCAACATGGCGTAGGAGTGCCTTGCCAATACTGTGGTCAAAAAGATAGGCAGTAGAGGAAGTCGGTCGTAAAGTGAAGAATTTAGTCCATTGTGCAGTCTGAAACTGAGCATGGAAAGGTAGTGAAGGACGTGTCGATCTTTTCTGAGAACGAGAAGGTGGAGAAGTATCATCAGCAGGTAACTGTCGTTGTCGTTTAGGCGTGGGACCACAGTTGGTCCGACGTGGAACGGGCCGGCGATTCGAAAATTGCCGCACCGTAGAGGGAGAGGCCGGAAGCATAGTCAGAGGAGAGCGAAGGTCAGATAAATCGAAGGAGTCAGTCGAGGCCTCAGTACCTGAAGCGGGTGAGGAAACAGCACCGGCAAGAGGTACAGAGGCATGAGGAGTGTCCGAAGAGTGGTCCAAAGATGAGGCGGGGTCAGAACGGAGTGCGGTATCAAGAAGGGGCCCGAGGGTAGCAGGTTCATGGACTAGGGCTGCCATGGTTAGGTTACTTCTTTCTTTTTGTTTTTAAGAAAAAAAAAGAAATTAGAAAAGAAAAGAAAAATAAAAAAAAGAATAAAAAAAGGGGGGACCGGGAGGATAGTTTCCTAGGAGGAATAAAGGCCAGAAATCTCCCTCCACGCCCAAGAGGACCTCAGCACCGCAAGTAGCGCAGATGCAGCAAGGAACCCGTGCCATACCCTATCCATCATGCCAGTAAACCGGCAATCCGGGATAGCATCCTCACATCTGCCGAGCTACCTCGGTGGACAAAAGAGAGGGCGGCTGGAAATCCGCCACAAAGCATATCTCCTTCGGCCACCACCCCGGAATCCGAAAGGTGGCTTCCAGAGATACACCCGTCGCTCGAGAGACACCCAAAGCCACCCTCCGGGATACCGGAGAGGGATCAGGACATCCCCAGGCAATCCAGATTCCACGGCAAACTACACCACCGCCAAGAACCTCAACGGAATGGGATGGACCCCGGTACCCTTTCCCCTACCTAGGAACTAGCGTGCCTGTGGGGAAAAAAAAAAAAGGCCAAAAAGGAAGGGCAAAAGGGAGGGGTGGGGAGGAGGAGGAGGAAAGGAAAAAGGGGAGGATGGGATAGGGAACGGGGGATTGGGGGGTAATTAGGTTCGGTCTGAGGAAGTAGACCAACAGGTCTAATTCCTCAGACCAAGAGCCTCTTCATCACGCCAAGGAGCCCCCCTTGAAGAGGTCAGTCAGCTGTTGCTGGACCAGTCAGCTGTTGCTGGATCAGTCAGCTGTTGCTGGATCAGTCAGCTGTTGCTGGACCAGTCAGCTGTTGCTGGATCAGTCAGCTGCTGCTGCACCATGGTCAGCTGCTGTTGCACCATCAGCTGTTTCTAAACATGACTCGTCCCGAACCTGTCCGTCCAGCCTGAGCGTCTGCCTTGCCGTCATTGTTTACAAGCCAGGGTGGCCGGTTGCATGCATACATTCAATACATTTTGTATTATTCCATTATTTAGTGCTTGTAACTGCTAAATAAGCCACCATGGGCCCAAAGAAAGCTTCTAGTGCCAACCCTGTGGTAAAAAGGGTGATAAATACTATCGTACCACGGTCAGCTGATAAATTGGACCAGTCAGCTGTCGCTGCACCACAGCTGCTGCTGCTGCACCACAGCTGCACCATGGTCAGCTGTTGCTGCACCACAGCTGCTGCTGCACCATGGTCAGCTGCACCACAGCTGTTGTTGTTGCTGCACCACCATCAGCTGTATTACTCGAAGATGTGGAGAGAGTGTTGTTGGTGTGGCTTAACGTGAAACAATCACCGAGAAACAATTAACCCCGGAGGGTTAGCCACCCAGGATAACCCAAGAAAGTCAGTGCATCATCGAGGACTCTCTAACTTATTCCCATTGGGGTCCTTAATCTTGTCTCCCAGGATGCAACCCACACCAGTCGACTAACACCCAGGTGAACAGGGAAAAACGCCTGGAACTAGTGCTCATATGGGAATTTAAAGCCAGCAAAGGTTGGTTTTTAGAGATTTAAGAATCGTAGTGGCATACACAGTGTGATAAGGCCTGTTCTGGAAGAAAATGCCAAACCAGGGCCCTTACAGTACTCAGGAGGAAAAGGCACTCCCAGGACACAGTGTCTCATCAGTCATTGCGCATCTTCAATAAAGGTAAGTGTCATTTATTCTCATTTTGTAGAGATACATGCACAATATATATATTGTGCATGTACTACTCTACTATTGTGCATGTATCCTTCTCTTTGTGTGTAGGAAAATGTATATTTCATGTGGTAAAAATTTTTTTTTCATACTTTTGGGTGTCTTGCACAGATTAATTTGATTTCCATTATTTCTTATGGAGAAAATTCATTTGCATAACGATAATTTCGCATAACAATGAGCTCTCATGAACAGATTAATATCGTTATGCGGGGGTCCACTGTACTTGCCACACAGCTTTCGTACCTTCTTCCCAACCACACACATAGGGAAAGACGAGGTAATGGTAGACACGTAGTCTTGCTAACAAGTGCGTTTAGCATCGTGTATGATGCGGTGAGCAACTGCCCTTGCCTGCTTAAAATAAAAAGACGATCTGAGATCCAATTATATCGATAATGGCTCCACGCAAGATATTTCAAACTCACTGCATGGGCACATGCAGGAGATCACAAAGGCACGCATGTCTGAGAATGCTTGCCTGAGGTTTGAGGAACAGAACGTGATGCTGCAGTCAAAACTAAGGTTGAAAACTTGGAAGGGAAGACTGGAGGATACTTAGGTTTGGTTTAAGGATGAAGACCAAAGGGTTTAATTCCTTAGACTAAGAGCCTCTTTGCTGTGTCAAAGAGCCCCCCTTGAAGAAGGAAAAATGCATCAATCAGAGTCATTTAACAAAGACAATAAATTAACCTCATCAAGCATGACTGTCATTAAACAATTGAGATAGGTCTTGGTGCATTCCATGCTTACTCTTAACACTTAACGACACTAGTATGGTTTATCTTCTGGATGATTTCTCATGTTATAAGATTAAAATTATAGCTAAAATATATCACACACATTCATCTTTAATACAGTTTCTCTTCTAAATGAACTTTTTTTCATGTTTTACAAGTGTGCAACAGTCTAAAACATTTCCGTCTGAACAGCGACATGGTTCACCTCCTGTATGAATTTTGTGTTGTGGCTAAAATGCTTCAATAATTCGGAAAAACTGACATGGTTTATCTCCTATAAGAAGTCTCAAATATTTTTCTGATTTACAAAGGTCCTTTTTTTCACTAAAACATTTCACTCAACAATGATATGGTTTACATCATGTATGAACCTTTTTTCTGCTGCAAGGAAAGATTTATAAGTAAAATAATTCAACATGGAAAATAATGATATGATTTTTCCCTTGTATGAATTCCATTATGGGTTATAATATAGTTAACTTATTTCACATGTAACAATGATATGGTTAACTTCCTGTATGACCTTCATAATCTACAGTAGCAGACACTGAGCACTGATATGGTTTACATCCTGTATGAGCTTTCTCATGTGCTACAAGGCCATTTTTATTACGAAACTTTTTAAACACACTGAACACCGATAAGGTTTCTCTCCTGTATGAATCCTCACGTGTGTTTTAAGAGAACGCTTAAAGGTAAAACATTTTGAACACTCTGAACACTTGTATGGTTTCCTTCCTCTATGAATTTGTTCATGTTGTACAAGATGGCCTTTCCTGCTAAAACATTTCATACACTCTGAACATTGATATATTTTCTCTCCTTCATGAATTTTTGTGTGAACTGAAAGATAACTCTTTCTGTTAAAACATTTCATACACACTGAACACTGGTAAGGCTTTTCATCTGTATGAACTCTTGTGTGTCTTTCAAGATCCCTTTTATTGCTGAAACATTTCAAACATTCTGAACACTGATGAGGCTTCTCTCCTGTATGAATTTTCTTGTGTATAATAAGATAATTTTTTTGCCTAAACCATTTTAAACATTCTGAACACTGAAAAGGCTTCTCTTCTGTATGACTTTTCATGTGCTTTACAAGAACACTTTTACTGATAAAACATTTCAAACATTCTGAACATTGATAAGGTTTCTCTCCTGTATGAATTTTCTTGTGTATAATAAGATAATTTTTTCGGCCAAAACACTTCAGACATTCTGAACATTGATAAGGCTTCTCTCCAGTATGAGTTTTCTTGTGTTCTACAAGAATACTTTTATTGCTAAAACATTTCAAACATTCTGAACACTGAAAAGGCTTCTCTCCTGTATGAATTCTCTCATGCTTTACAAGAACACTTTTTCTGCAAAACCATTTTGAACATTCTGAACACTGATAAGGCTTCTCTCCTGTATGAATTTTCACATGTTTTACAAGATTACTTTTATTGCTGAAACATTTCAGACATTCTGAACACTCATAAGGCTTCTCTCCTGTATGAATTTTCTTGTGTGCAACAAGATAACTTTTATGGCTAAAACATTTCAGACATTCTGAACACTGATATGGTTTCTCTCCTGAATGAATTTTCTTGTGTATGACAAGATTACTTCTCTGTCTAAAACATTTTAGACATTCTGAACACTGATGATCTATCTCTCCTGTATGTACTTTCATGTGTCTTTCAAGCCAATCTTTATTGCTAAAATATTTCAAGCATTCTGAACACTGATATTCCTTCATGGCAGTGAGATCTTGATCCAAGGAATTCAACCTGACCTCACCTTCCTTGAACTGACCCTGATTACCTTCCATTTCCCCAGGTGCTGTATTAACCCCTATGGGTTTAGTGCTCATCTCATGAATGTAATAATAATAATGAACACTAATAAGTTTTATCTTCTAAATCAGAGATTGCCAAACTTGGTACCCAAAAGGGTTTGCCAAGGGCTACACAGGTATGTTTTTACTGTCACTTTATTTATTTCAATACTTATTTATTGGTCTTCAGACTTTCAAAGACAAATATAAAGTCCCAAATGCTAAAACAACACTGTTCAATAATAGAAATATTTCAGTGCTATACTTACACAGATGAGGTAGGTATAGGTATATATGACTATCTCAGACAGTCATACATACCTTTCAGAGAAAGGTATTTTTTCACACCTGTAGAAAAGAATAAGCAGTGGATAAGGCATAATATTACTCCAAAACATTTATGATGAACATAAGTTTGGGAACCTCTGATGTAAATGAGCTTAAGAGTTATATATATATTTTTGCTGTAATATTTTAAGAAACACTAATGGTATTTGTTTCATTATGACATCACATATTTTCAGAGATTTTCCTGATATGTCTAAATAATTAATGAGTTATGTATTGTCATCTGCAATATTTACAAAAAATATTCAGCAAACCACTGATATAACAGACCTCAATATAATGAACTTCTAAAATTATGAGCAAAATCCACTAGATAAATTGCACTTTTAGCTCCTTTATTTCCAAAGTTCATTGCAGTATATCTGTAAACTGTGTGCATAGTATTTTATTAAGTATATATAGGTATTTAAGTGATACTTTGTAGTATTTTTCAACATTATCCTGATATACTAGACACTTGGACAATCCCCCTATTAGTCCGTTCTATCAAGGGGTTACTGTAGTTCATTACAAAACAATCAAGGTATATAATAAAGGTAAAAGAGAATGAGGTGATGTTAAAAGACACTTGTACAGATGCTTCTTGAAAGACAGGAGATTTCAAGTGTAAACATTCTTGTTGCTCATTGCTCACTACATCTGTGGATTAGAAAAATGAGTTAGTGCATTGTTCTTTTCTCAATTTAAGAAGCAATAAATAATGAATCTGAAAAAACTTATGATACAAATAATAAAGTTGTTTCATAAAATTCACATAACTTTTTTAATTCATTCATTTATTTATTTTAAGTCTTTGCAAACAGTACATTGAGATTTTATATTTACAAAAAAAAAGTGGTTGGCAATGACGCAAAGAGAGCCTCTATTATGCCTAGGCATTATGGGCCAACTTAACATTATTGGCTTACAGTGTGAGGGAAAAGTTCAACAGATAGGAGTAGCGAGCGAGTATATGGTAACGATAGTTGTTTGCCGGCTGCTTGTTAAGGTAGGGTCAGTCTAGCTCCCGCTATCCCCTCCCCCCCTTTCTCCCCACCCCGAAAGGTGACATGTGGGGCTCCGGCCAACAACTGTGATACTCGACTCACAGCTCCCGGCGCAACTGTAAGTAAAAGCCTTCTGCTCCTATTCTAGTGGACTTATTGGTTAAAAGCTTCACTTTTGGCCAATAATAAACTTAGTCCTTTCAGTTTTAGCTCCACATGAGACTTTTTTAGATAACACCACCTTTTTTAAGTATCTCTTACACTTATCATGGAGAGTGATTTTCTTTTCAAGCAGTGGGTAACCTGACTCTCTTTCCAGCTTGGATTGACAGATCGGGGTTCACCTGCCAACCCAACGAAAAGTTGTTGAAGGAGATGGACTGAAACCGGTCCTTGGGACGTCACCATATAATCTATACTGATTTATGTTGTTGAGCCACAGGAATACTACCCTTAACTTTGTAGTGGTGAAGGAATCGGCATTCCCCTATCATCTGGACAGACTATTCAAGGCTATAGACTCTGTGAAGAACTAGTGTTGGGTTGTCATTCCAACACCTGTGACCCCCCCCAACATCATCAGTAACGGCTACAATTTCTACAAGACGGTGTCAACCTCCACCAGACACCCCAGCATGACTGTACATATTAGCGTTGAATTCAAATGTCATCTTTTCATTTCATTCTTCATTTTTCTTTCAAATAGGATACACCTTCATGTTTCAATGTTTTATCTTTGCATTACTAAATAATAAAGTGTTTATCTTTGTGAATTATTATTTCTTTTTCTATTCATTAATTTTCCTGAGGAGGAGCCAGCCTTGGTAATACTGTCTGAAGTTGTTACAGGGCTGAGTAAGCCTTCACATACATTCTACTTAACAATAAGGAGTATATCATAGTTGTACAGTAGGATAGTAATTATTTCATAGTTGTACAGTAGAATATTAATTATGAATGACCTATCCCCCCCCCCTTTGTTAATACAAAGATATTATTTATATTCGAAAAATTACTTTTTCTGTGAAAACAATGATTCAATTTATATTCTGTCAACAATGGATTTTGATAAAAGGTTCAATGTGATTGTTTCGGTTATGATGTGGGAGTACATAGGTGAGTAAATGTGTACTGAGTATTTAGCATTTAGTCTAGGGTGATTAATTGGCTTTTGAGAGAGTCTTAAACTGATTTTCAGACTGGGTTACTTTAATATCTTCTGGTAATGAATTCCATATTTTGGGGCCCTTTATGTGCATAGAGTTTTTACACAGTGTGATATGGACACGAGGTATATCAAAAAGAGATCTGTGTCTTGTGTTGTGGTCATGTGTCCTGTTAAGGTTAGTGAGGAGAAGTTTGAGTGGGGGGTTTATATTTGCATATATTGTTCTGTATATGTAGTAGGCACATGAATAAGTATGGATGTTCTTAATGGTGAGCAGATTCAGACTTTTGAAAATTGGTGGAGTATGCTGGTGAGAGTGGGAATTTATCATTCTTAATGCTGCCTTTTGCTGGGAATCATTTCAGAGTCCAGACTTCCAATTTAAAACTTGTTCTCAAGGTTTAAAAATTTTCACTGCCTCCTCAAAAAAAAAAAAAAAAAAAAAAAAATCTCACAAAATGGTAGAGAATTTTTTTCCGAAGATAATGACACAAAAGTACAAAATCTACTGGAAAACTTATGTTATTATACTGGTGCAAAGTTTACGGTCTTGGCATAACTTATGCAACGGTGATTTTGACCACTCTGAGTCCTATTTTAGGACAATTTCATTGTTCCAGTTAACAAAATTCTTAGCTATTTTGCTAGGATAATTTCCATTCTATCAAATGAGCAAAAGAAACTGCCCATTCAACTATTTTAACTACCCAATAAAGTGATCACAATTCCATATTATGGCAAAATTCACATAAAATTAAAAATATGCCGATTTAAAAACTGAGTTTAAAATAAACAATGTAGATATTCTTGGCATTTGCTTTTCATTTTGAATTCTTATTCACACAAAATATAGAAGATTTATTCCATTTCTCAGGAAATAACATACAGTGGACCCCGGACTACGTCATTGGAATACGTAATGTTCAGAATACAGTGGACCCCCAGTTTGCGGTATTAATCCGTTCCTGAGAGCTCATCATAAACCAAAATTATCAAAAAGCGAATCAATTTTCCCCATAAGAAATAATGGAAATCAAATTAATCTGTGCAAGACACCCAAAAGTATGAAAAAAAAATTTTTACCACATGAAATATTAAGTTTAATGCACACAAACTGAAGAAGACATGCACAGTTTGTACTACTCTACTAACAATAGAATACATGACACTTACCTTTAATGAAGATCTGGTGATGAATGATGGGATGGGAGGAGGGGAGAGTGTCGAACTTATTGTTCAGAAAGGGAATCCCTTCCATTAGGACTTGAGGTAGCAAGTCCTTTTCCTGGGTTACTTCCGTTCTTCTTTTAATGCCATAGGACCAGCTTGTGATCATGGACCTCTGTCGCACAACCAAATCTGTCCATAGAGCTCTGTACCTCCGTCCTTTACGAATTGTCTTAAAAATGGGCCACAACATTGTCATTGTAATAGTCACAGCATAGCTTGCAATAGCTGTGTTAGGGTGTGATTTTCATCCAATAAAGGTTTTGCAGTTCAACCCACTTTTGCACACATTTCCTTAATTTCTGAAGTAGGCACAATGGATTCCACAACTGGCATAGGCTTCTCAGGGTTAGCCCCAAACCCTTCAAAATCTTTTTTAATTTCCATACTAATTCTCACCCTTTTTACCACAGGGTTGGCACTAGAAGCTTTCTTGGGGCCCATGGTGACTTATTTTGCAGAAACAAGCACCAAAAACACTGTGATAATATGGAATGTACCGGATGTATCCTTAGATGCGAGCACACTGGCTAGCTTGTAAACACTGGGCCATACGTGGACATGTCTCGGACGAATCGCGTATACCAGTTTTTTAACGTTAACCGAGGCAAAGTTTTTGCGTTAAAATGTATCGAATACCGGATTTATCGGATACTGATGCCATCGCAAACCGGGGGTCCACTGTAATTAACGTTTTTTCGTCAAAATATTGGCTCAGTGATCATCACTGAACTCGGTATAAGTCATTTGTCTGGAACCTGTCCACGTGGCCCGAGCTACCCCAACACTCCATGTACAGCCAGTGTGCCATTGTTTACTAGCCAGTGAGGATGATCCCACACGTTCATATGATGTATTTTATATTATTCCATTCTTTTTAGTGCTTGCAACTGCTAAATAAACCACCATGGGCCCAAGGAAAGTTCCTAGTGCCAGCCAGCCCTTTGGTAAAGGGCTGAGAGGGGAGAATGTGCCTTTTTCAGTGATTCTGCAATATGTACTATACTAAAGCAGCAGGAGTCACAAATGCCATAGCACCAGCCAGCAATAAAGTGTAGCATTAACAGTGTAGTAAGTTAATCGATTAATCGAAAGAAAAAGGACAGCATGAAACTGACTCCTCCATTGTTGTAGGAGGTATATAGGGCTACTGACTAACACCGCCGCCTCTTCTGCCTCTTGCTGCTACCTTCACCACTATGTAAGGCTTATCTTTCAGTGGCCCTTATAACACCCAACAACAAACAACACACCACCACTCATGACATTCTTAATGCCATATTTTATTCATTCTAGAGTATATATCATGTTTCTCTGTTATTAATATTGTTTATGTCATATTAGATGAATTGTGCTAGATAAATAAACTGTAGAGCTGATATTAGTGTCATATTGAAGGACTATCTTGTCCTGTCTCCCAACACAATTTCTAACATACACCAGAAAAAGACCTCTCTGGAACACTTTTTTGAGCGACAGGGGTCCAGTAACTCTCAAGCTGGTCCTAGTGGCATTAAAAAACAAAGAAGGAAAGTCACCCAGGATAACTTGGTACCTGAAGTATTTATGGAAGGGCAATCCTCTTCCAAACAACTGTAAACTCCTCCATCCTCTCCCCTCCTCCCATCTTCCAAACATTACCATGTCTTCAATAAAGGTAAGTGTGATGTTATTATTTTATTTTTCATGTATCAGTGTTTTCTGTGTAGTTAAATGTATACTTCATGTAGAAATCATTTTTTTTAATACTTTTGGGTGTCTGAAAAGGATTAATTAGATTCCCATTATTTCTTATGGGGAAAATTATTTCGGAATTCGTCAGATACGGGTTTAGTCACTCTCTCTGGAATGGATTAATTACAAAAACCGGTGGTCCACTGTATAATCAGAAAAAATTGTTCATGATTTACAGCATCCCAATAATTGAATCATATTAAAAACCCATAAAACAAACTGGGGGAGGATGGTTGTAGGGGCATTTTACCCATCTCTGGAATATTGACAAAAATTTAATATTTCTACTAATCCGAGCTCAGTTTCAAGTTACTTCTAGTCCTGAATCCAATCAAACTCTTCTCTATCTATTCATTACTTTTCCCTTTGTTTATAATGGAATCTGAAGGTAGTTGTTAGAAATGATTAAACTCAGTGAACATGGTATGTCGATGGTAATAATATGGCTCTGGGCCGCAGTGTAGGTAGCCGGTAGGTGTGCCAGGCTACACCTACCAGGGCTACCTACTGACTTCCTACAATAA